GATTGAAAGGCTATTAAGGGTTGATCCTAACATGTCAAGCAATGTGCTTAGGTATGAAATTAGGAAAATGGTTGGGATAGATGTCACCTGGAGGAAAATACATAGGGCTAAGCTTAAGGTTATTGATAAGATTAGGGGATCATTGGCATATCCATATGCAGTATTCCCTCAGTACTGTACAACCTTGCTTGCAAGCAACACTGGGTCTGTTGTGAAGTTGCATGCCCCACTTGCTTCAGAATAAGACACATATGGGGTTTCAAGAGAGTCTTCATATACCTTGCAGGTCCAAGGGATGGGCTCTTAGATGGTTGTAGAAAGATTATTGGACTGGATGGTTACCACACCAAGTCTGGTGCAATAGGGGGTATAATACTCACAACTGTAGGGATTGATGTCAATAACAGAATCTTTCCTATTGCATATTCTGTGGTGGAAGTTGAAAGCAGGGACAGTTGGACATGGTTTTTTGTTGAGTTAAGAGATGCTCTGGGTATTGATGACCCGCATAGGTGGACATTTATGTCTGATAGGCAGAATGTATGTATATATTTGCTTGGTTGAGTTAATGCATAATTTTCTTTGTTTTGATTATAAATGTGATGTTTGTTTGCAGGGCATTGTTGAAACAGTATCATGTTGCATTCCTGGTGCAAATCATAGGTTCTGTCTACGACATCTATATAGAAACTTCAAAAAACTCAAGGGGGTGGTTGTTTCAGAATACTCCCAACCATGAAAGGGCCCATATGATGACATGGGTTATTTCAAACATATAACTTTCAGTTATGTTATTTTTTGAACTTTGATATATTTTGACACATAGATGTGATGGTTGTTTCAGAATACTCCCTACCATGAGAGGGCCCATATGATGACTTGGGTTATTTCAGACATATAATTTTTAGTTGTGTTATTTTTTGAACTTTGGTATATTTTGACACATAGATGTGATGGTTGTTTCAAAATTTGGTATATTTTTTGAACTTTGTGATATATTTCAGAATTTGGTATATTTTGAATAGAACGTAATTTAAACTTATACATGGATGTGATGGTTGTTTTAGTTTTGACACACCTATATTGTGATATGTTTCAGAATTTGGTATATTTTGAACATAACAGAATTTAAACTTAGGGTGCCCTTAAACTTATATCACACCCATGATCATAATTTACAGGTACATAGCAGTGATATAAACAGTTTATATTACTATTCACTGTTCAAGAGACAATTTAGTTGGATGAAGGAACTTTCTAAATTAGCTCCATTCCATCCCATGCATCCAATAAATCATAATTTGCAGGTACATAATGGAGATACAAACAGTTTATATCAATATTCACTGTTCAAGAGACAATTTGGTTGGATGAAGGGGCTTTCTAAATTAGTTCCATTCCATCTCATGAATAGGATTCAAGGGACAACTTGTTTTCTTAGAAGTCCACATCATGCTACCTACTGTATAGCAAAGGATTATTAGGTTCAAATATATTACAGTTTGTTTTCTTATAGGTTATGGATGTGAGTAAAATATATTACAACTTGTTATGGGTGTGAGTCAAATATATGACAATTTGTTTAATGGCCAAGATAGGAATAAAATATATGGCAGTCAAATATATTACATCAGTGATATTTGTTTAAGAATGATAAATGGACAATAAACATACTATAGTATTGTACTTAACAATATATGAAAAAAAGGTTCACAAATGTTTGATAAAACATATGAGTGAGAGAGAGAGAGAGAGTTATGAGAATCATCTCTACATATTAAACAGACACCTTCAAACACTAATGCAAAATCAGAAAGCCACATCATGCATCTTTTATGCGTAAATCCTCGATACGCTTCAATAACTTATCACAAAATTCGGACATCTTATCCAAAATATCCTTCTCAAATTGTACAACTGCTACTATTTCGTCCAATGTTTTCTTAGATGACCTTTCATTTATTCTGGAAGGTCCTAAACCATCATCTGCTTTCATGGTTACACTATCTACCAGTGTTACCCATGAAAAAAATTTACAGCCACCTGCATCATACAAAAACAATTGAATTTTCACAAGTCATTGAACAAAACAATTATGGAATAACACATTTTTTCTTACCTTAGGCTTTGCGCACACGTAGAACCGTTTTTCTTGGCTGTTAGGCTTTTTCGGTGTGAACACTCGACATAGCCCAATGTAATAAGACACATCACTGCTTTAACATAGAACATGTTAACCTACATGGAAGATGTTGAGCAAACTACAACAAAATTACCTAACTGATAACCTACATAGTAGTGGCACCCATAAAACTGTCGGGCAACGTTCTCAAACTTTCCATGCCTAGCCATGACAATGACACACTCTCCACCACATGGACACACCACATTCACGATGACAGATCACAACTGTTGTATCTGCAATCATTAGAATAACATATTAAACGTCACATACGGGTGACTAGGCATACGGGGTGGGGGAGGGGTTGGACGTGCGAGGCGGGGAGCTGGGTGTGCTGGGGGGGAAGGAGGTGGGAATGCCGAGATGGGTGGGGGCTGGGCATTTCGTTGAATAGATGACAACTAATAACTGCATCTATTCGAAATCCCACCGCTATTCTCCTCTCTCCTCCCCCACACCGCAATGGCAGTGGCACAATGCATTGGTCATCGTCGTTATCCTACCCCACACCGTAGTTCCAAAACATCGCAGGTTTCAAAACCCTCCTTGGGGTCACCAACGACGATGTTGGCGCTGCCGACGCTGCAAATTAAAATGACGCTACAAGTTAAAACGACACCATTGATGATCTGTAAGATGACGTCGGTGACGAGCCCTACTCTAAGAAGGAGTGCTCACAGTTTGGTTAACCGAATCGTGGGTTTTTTTCTTGAACTGAACTGACCTGATCTATTCTTTTAAAAATTGAACCGAAACCGAACTGATGTAATCGGTTAACCAATGGACCGATTAACCACGGTTCGATTTTTTGTTTTTTTTTTGCACTCAAAATAAAAAAAATAAAAAGCCTGAACAAGCATCGCAGAGGGGCGAGCTGGAGAGGGCGAAGTGGTGGCCGATGATTTGCTGGTGCCTGGTGGTTGTTGTCGCCTAAAGTGAAAGCCTGAGAGGTGGCGGAGCCGCGAAGATGAGAGATGAGAGAGACAAAGATAGTCAAACAAAGCTTGGGAGTGGAAGGTGGCGGTCTGGCGGAGTCAAGGTGGCGACCGATGTTGCACACTTGCACTGTTGCTGCGTGCTTGCTTGTTTGATGGTTGGCATGGCGGAGACGAAGATGACAGACAATAGAGAGTAAGAAAGAGACACATGGATTGGGGAAGACGAAGAGACAACAGACTCAAAGAGAAAGAGACGCAGGGATTGAGGAAGACGAAGAGACAAGAGTCACAAGAGTAAGAAAGTGAGAAAGGGGAAAGTGGGAAATAAAAATTTTGAAAATCCATTACTTAGACATTTGGGGAAAACTGAGAAGAAGAGTGTGGCCTCGACGAGTGTGCACCATTTGAAAATTGTGAAAATCCAATTTTCACAAGTCCCATTACTAAGCCTCTCTTTCTCTAAGGGGGAAAATTGTGAAGCATCTCATTTTTTGAAGAATGGAGCAACCGAAAAGGCCTGTGTGCGCACAAGTTTATTCACTCAGCCTCTACGAGTGTGCACCAGCCTGTTGGGACTTGGGACTTGGGACTTGGGAAAGGGGAAAATTGAAAAGATATGCATGTTACGGGTAAGATAAAAGTGGGAAAGGCGAACAGGCCACATGCACGTGACTGTGGCTGCTGATTTTTTTAAAAAGTATAAAAATAAATATAATATTATATATGTTATATATATTATTGTATATATATAGATCAGTTCGGTTAATCATCGTTTTTTTATAAGTTAATCGAAACCAAACCAAAATTTTCAGTTTTTTTAAGAATATCGAACTGAAACCGAATCGACTGGTTCGATTAACCAATTTTTTGGTTCAGTTTCGATTGGTTCGGTTTTCCAATTTTTTTGCTCATCCCTAACTCTAAGAAAATGTCCACTGCACCGATGATGCTGACACTAAAATTAACGATCTAGTGCTGGTGACTAGCAATAGGACGCCTGTGAGCCCTACACCGTAGTTCTAGTGTTGGTGACAAGTAACAGCCCAATCAGTTCAGTGCTGACAGAGACAGTGAGCCCGAACTAAAATCAAAAGGGTATTTTTGATCGTAAAAGGGTAGTTTGAGAATTATGAAAAAAAATTATCAATCACGTGGTGTCGGATGCAAATAGGACCCGTCGGTCGAGTAACAGCAGGGGAGGATTTGGACAATTGTCAGAAAATAAGGGTACCGTAAGACAATAACTAAATAGTAGGGGTACCGTGTATCATTACGCTAAACAATAAGGGTAATTTAAGAGATTTACCCATATAAATATATAATATATCGGATCGGACAAGGGAGTGATCCAAATCCAATCCGATTTCTGACCGAATCTTATTATGCATTCCAGAGATCCGAAGAGAGGTGACCCGAATCTTACCAAACAGGTTTGGTTATCGGATCGGATCATGATTAAATAGAATTGGTTATCGAATCGGATCATGATTAGATCCGTTTGCACCTTATGGAACCCTCAGCCGAATAACGAAATCCAAGGCCTGCACATGTAAAATGTCGAATCAGATACTTCCGGGTTCGGGTTGGGCTCGGTCAAGGTTGCGTGCCTCAGTCTGAATGTATAGGTGCTGTAAATTTCCAAAAAGGCAATTTCCATCTACGATGCCGGAGGGATAACGGCGAAAGCAAGATCGTGCGAATGATACACGCGTTTATTTAGGAATGATTGGGACCCTTCCGGCGGTGGATAACGAAACCACGTCGCTCTACCATTAAGATTACATTGTAACATGTGCCACGTGGTCGTACTTTGACCGTCCGATGTTCCTTCTCTTTCTATCTCACTGTCGATGAAGGAGCAAAGTGGCGTAGTGAACTCAAAGTCCATTGGGTTCGCGAGAGAGGGAAAAGAAAGTGGAATTTTAAGTGCTCCCCTAGCTCGAAAGAATTTGCTAAAACCCTAAAAACTTACGAGTTTCTTCCTATTGCAACTATTCAAGTTCGATAGACCGAACAACAATAACCTACGAGTTACTTCCTACTGCACCTGTTCAAGTTCGATAGACCGGACTACAATGGCGACTGCCCCATTGGACGAAGAAACGTCAAAGAAAGTCCTTCGCCAGGTTAAAAGCATATGATCTTTTCGCCTCCTATTTGTATTTATTTATTTATTTTTGCACCCGGGGGTATTGAATTTGAATCGGTTGCAAAATCATTTATCTTCTCCTTACAGGTTGAGTTCTACTTCAGTGATAGCAATCTTCCTAGGGATAATTTTCTTAAGAAATCGGTGAGCGAGAGCGAAGATGGCAGTATCCTTTTAAGTGAAATTGTTACCATTTTGTTGTCAAATTTGAGTTTTTTTTTTTTTTTTGCTTAGTTAACTCTGTTGTCTTCTCTGCTCCGTTGACCCTGACTAAAAATTTTAGTGGTTAGTTTGGCATTAATATGTTCTTTCTCTCGGATGAGAAGCCATCTCGGTTTGGGTGATTTAAAGCCGGACGACGTGTCGGAAGAGACGGTGAGGGCCGTCGCTCAAACTCTAAGAAATTCTGCTTCCCTTAAAGTTTCTGAGGATGGTGAGTTTTTACTCATACGATATTTATGCTATTTGTTTTTTCACGGTTCGGAAATATGATTCTAGTCTAGGGAAATATTAAATCAAACAATGCAGATCCTTCATGCTGTAGTCTTTGTTTTTATCTCATGGATTATTATTTCTGTGAATCTTCTTTTATTGAGGTTTCTTTTGGAATTTATCAACGAGGGTGGGCGAAGGAAAGAGGAAAAACCACTATGTTGATGTTTCTAGTCTGGCTTTAATTTATAGGCTTTTCTATTGTCTGAATACGTAGTTTGGCTAGCGGCTATATCGTGCTTATAACTGTTAGAAGTATATGCGCTGAGCTATATCAGCACAAAAGACAAGTTTTTTTCCTCTCATTTTTTGTATATGTCATCTTATGCATTGTTTTCTATTTTATTTTATACGGAACCTAAATGTTTCATATTGCAATGTAGCCCAATATTTTCTTTTATACTACTGAATTACTGATTCCAGTAAAGCTATGAATACTATATGATATATCCTTGTAAGTTACCTTGATGTTTCTTTTCAATGTTCTCTTGTTTTTATTTTCTCAATAATCATTGAATGGGGCTCTATTCACTATCTTCTTTGATGGCGATGCTATTTCTTTCTTGGACTATGTTGATATCATTTGTTTTTGACTGCAGTGTTTTGATCTTATTTGCTTAATGCTTTTCCTCTTTTTGCTTCCTGTTATAGGAAAGAAGGTTGGCAGGAGTACTGAACTATTAAAACCAGAAGAGGTTATAGAGCAAGTAAACATAAGAACCATTGCTGCATCACCTCTAGAGTATAATGTGAAACTTGAAGAAGTGGAGTCCTTCTTTGATAAATATGGCAAGGTACTGAATTTCTTTTTTAGTCACTTTACACTTTTGTCATGCTATTCTTGTTTTTATATGGCATTTACAACTTTATTACCAGCTAAAATCCTGGAATTCACGTAGTTGCCTTTAGTTAGGTTCTTGTTACATGTTTGTTTCTCATATATGATCTAGATGGACTATTCCCATGTTGGACTGCAACACTTCCAGCTTTCAGTCTCAGTCTTCTGTTTATTTCTTCATTTTTTATACCTAAAGTTTAACTTTTCAAGTTATAAGGTGAATAGGCTATTATATCCCATGTTTCAGTTAATTAAGATGCAATGCATATCTGCTATAGATTATACATTAGAAGTCATAAAGGAGCACAGAGCACTCATTGTATGTATTTTGCTTTTTGATCTATATGTATAATATGCGCTTTTAATACATAATTTGATCATTCTCTCCGGGTTATCTATGCAGCTAAAATCTGAATGTTATTGTCATATGCTCATAGTAAGAAGATTGACTTGATCTAGTCCATGCTATCTTTTTGTAGTTCTGAATCTTACAAGTGGGTCCTTTTCTGAATCAAATCTTACAGTTCAATCATTGAATCTCACAGTTTATCTGATTCGTGTGATTTGTATCAATTTGATTGGGGCCTAGTTTTCATCAATGTCTAGAATAAAGATATCTCGATTATTTATACCATTTTTTATTGAAGAAAGTAGTGTTTATCTTAATTGTGTGTTGCAAAATAAATACAAGTGTAGCTAATGTATAATGAGAAAAAAGACAGCCCTATGAAGCATGGAACACCATAAATCGACATTCATCTTTACATGAAGGATATAGTGGTCACAAAAAGCATGATTAGGGAAGTCCATAAAATAGCTGTGAAACAGAAAGCCATGAGTGGATATGGATTGTCATTTTTGCACTTCAATTACTTCCACTTTGAGTGCATTGCATTCAAAGCCTATGTTTTATTCTCCTTTTATTGTATTAGAATAATTATAAGAGGTACAACATTCCATGCAATGTCCCCATCATATGCCCCTCATACTCAATACAGCAAATGACCTAATGATTCGGGGCAGCCCCTACATAATTGGTGAGGCCACAGAAAGTTGTCCATAAACCTGAGTTGAACGGGAAATGCATGGAGGCATGGTATGCTGCTTCCTTCTCATGGGGACAGCTGGACATGACAACAAATAAGTCACCAGTCACCACCTTATTTTGAAATTGTGCTTTAAAAGTCAAGTAAGGATGAGCTGGAGTTATAGTTGATGACATATGAATGAACGTATACTGATAAGAATCTAGTGCTAGCTGTGCTATCTGTTGCCCTACTTCAGTATGTATTCTGTGGACACCTCTCTTGGCCTCTCCTTTCCCACTCACTTTTTCTTATTTCTTCTCTGATCACTTGCATGTTTTTATTGCAGGTGAATAGTGTCAGGCTACCTCGCCATATTGCAGACAAGAAGGTCTTTTGTGGCAGTGCTCTGATTGAGTTCTCATCAGAGGAAGATGCTGAAAATGTTCTGAAACAAAGTTTGATCTATGCAGGCACCGAGTTAAAGCTAAAACCAAAGTATGATTTAGTTGTAATTGTTTGTCTTGGTGCAAATATATATATATATTATAGTTTTAACACAGATATTAAAGTACTAATTTTTCTATTCATTCTTTTGCTTGTGTTTGTCTTGTGAATCCATGCATGTGAAGTGGCTGCATTGCATTTTTTATTCATTTTGGTGAAATCTGTCATTTCAAAAAGCTGTGTTTTTTCCATGGTGCTGGTGTGCAACATACATGTGAGAAGACTATAATACGATATTTGAAATGGAGAAGAAAAGTTGGGATTCTTTTAGCAATTTCCTGAAAAGTATGGAACAAATTTATAGGGGAAAGAATTCTCAAATTTTTTGTCTTTTTTTTTGGTAATTTGCTTTAACTCGGATTTTAAAAGGCTGTGCTTATCCCTAGATTAATGTATATTCCTCATTATACCCCAATAATGATTCCATCTGATAGATTTGCTGATTTACTTGTGAAGCTATCACCATATTAATGTGTAAAAGACCTATATGCTGATCTAGTATTTATTTCTACCCTTATAGTAATAAGCTCTTATGCTTGTTTTGAGACATTAAGCTTCTTATGTCACGTAGTTTTGAGAATGGGGCAATTGTTCCAACCTTTTTCTGTATGATCTTTTTACCAAGAAAAAGGTAATAGTTTAATTTCAAAGTTGGTGGACCAGAAAGTTTTGCATACGCTTGAAGGAGAAATAATTTTTTTTTGATGAATAACTTGAAGGAGAAATATTATACTAGCAGTTGAAATCTTTACATCATTTCCATATTATGTGATGCCATTGCCCTATGTTGGTTTTCTGGCATTCCATAGTTTTCTATGATTCTTGGATCTACATTGTGTTTTTTTTAAATGTGACATTTGAATCTTTGTTGAGATGAACTGACTTGAAAATGCATCATAGTATTGTAGTTTCTCATAAAGAAAATGGGAGATGCCTTAATTTTGTTTAAGTCTGAAAATAATTTATGGATTCTCAAATTAGGAATAACTTAGTAAAAGAAGATTTTTATAATTGTTAAGATATAAGAAAATCAACCATGCTCTTACAATTTCAACTATATCTCTATAGTCTTGAAAAGATCTCAGGCACCCAATATATATGGGTATGAAATTGTTAAATGGTTCTGTGTCACCGAGAGGAAAAACCATTTTTTTTTTTAATTCAGCTTCACTCCTATGTTTCCAATATAAGACAAAAGTAAAGCTGTTATTGTGTTAAGTGGCCACTTTATTTTTTCCCTTAATTGATATTTTGGGCATCTATGTACAAATTTTTCTTACTGTAATTTGTAATTTTGATGGTCAATTCTTTATGTAAAAACTTAGAGTTTACATGCATATTTTGTTACTTGGTAAGGCTTTCTGTTGAATGTTAGAGATTTAGGTTTTCCTTTGACAAATAAATACAAAATCACATTTCTTGATATACTTGTGTGTTAATCTTCCTGCATGCTCATGGCCTGACATGGTGGTTTTTCTTAGAAATAAATTCAGTTTTTGGCTTCTTTGCAGCATGCATGCTTTTTTCTGTTCTGAACCTTATGATCTTATATTTACTTTGTTGTTTTGTTCAGGAAAGATTTTGATGCTGAAAGAGCAAAAATGGTAGATGAATATGAAAATTCTCGTTCCTCTACAGGTTCCAAGTTTAAAAACAATTCTAGTACAAGTGGGAAGTAAGTTCCCAGTAACCATGTCTAACTGCTTATTCCATTGTCTCATTGTTTATTGTGATTATCTTTTTTTTTTTCTGTTTTAATGTTTTTTTTTTTTTATTTTATGTTCATCACAGCTATCCTAAAGGCTTAATTATAGCGTTTAAACTCAAGAAAGTGTCAGGAGGGCAAGGTGATATTCTTAAGACAGCAGATGACAATGGAGATGCCTGTAAGACAGGGGAGGAACTCGATTCCAAGGAAAATTCTGTTGAAGTGAGTGGACAAGAAGCCTCACGAAGTGATAAAGATGTTGAAGAAAAACCTTTGCATGATGTTGAAGCTGAGAGGGGAGAAGTTACTGCGAAAGTCGATGAAGGGAGTGCAGAAAAGGAGTCTGGAGAGGCTGTCCATGAGGCTGAGAAGAAACCTCCTGAAGATGCATCTCAAGAGTGCAATGTGAAGGCATCAGGTGGAGAAATAACCAAAGCTACTATGTACAAAGACAACAATGATGTTGTCTTGCGTGAAGATCTTAAGGATGTCTTTAACAGATTTGGCACTGTCAAGGTAATTGCTTTTCTCTTTCTTAGTATTGTTGGTTTGAAACTTTGATATGTTCTAGAAAAGTGGCCTTTAATTTTTTTATTGAAAATCATCTGCATTTGAATGATCTCACTTTCTAATCATGCAATGTTTACAATGGTCCCTTTGTTTTCTATCCTTTCTGTTTTGTTGAAGTTGAGTATAGAGAAATTTATTTATCTTCTTGACATTCATCTTCATTGTCCATCTTTCTTAATGTGGTATTTATGTATTCTGTTGGACTTGTTCTAGACTTCTAGTTGATGTATCTCCTACCAGGTTTGATTATTGTATTAGCATGCCTCATTTTTATTTGAAGCTATTGTTGTCTTGGCTACATGGATTTTTTTTGACAATAAATGAAAAGAAGTATTAGTAATATAAAAAGAAAATTACAGCTATGGAAAGGTTGTTGAGGTAACACTCCAGTCAATAATATAGCCAACCAAATTCCTACAAAAAATGTACAAATTATGAATGGATAAGAATCCAATCTGAAATTAAATTTCATGTTTCCATACAAATTTAATCACAACACTATATTTTGCTTCAACTTTTCTTCTTTTTCGTTCCTTCCAAATTTTCCCGCAAACAGCAAAGTGAACCTAGCTTCAAAATAACATTCATAAAAAAAACCTAGCTTCAAAATAACTTTGCCTTCTTACTTGAATATCAGACTATAACAAGGAAATCTTCATGGTTTGTCATGGATGCCACACATGCTTTGTAAGCAGTGAAAATAATCCTTATACAATCTTAGAAACCTGAAAGCAATATGCAGATGCCTCATTTAAAACATATTGGGTAATCTGTTGAGGGATCAACACAGAAAACCATTATTTTTCATTAACAGATTCGTCGGTGCATATTTTGTGAGTTTGGCTTCGACCATTAGGTGAAAATAAGTGCCTTAGGAGTTGCAGGTTGCAAAGTGGAATGCATTTTTAATGGGTGCACTTCCCATTATACCGTTATGTAAAAAAGGGTTATGATGATAATATAATAGTTAAAGATGATAATTTCATTTAATTTTCTATTTCCTTGTGCCATCCTGATCAAAGAAGTTTCATAATGTAGAAAAGAAATCATATACAAAGGATATAGTTGTTAGACAGTAGTTCCAATGTTATTAGTTCATTTATGCTATATTAAATTGCTTTACATCTAGTCAAACCATGTTAAATTGAGTTTATGTGCGTAAAAATCCACCTCAAAAGGGTCATGTGATAACTGAAAATGAGCTGTATTTCACTGTTTCAGATGGAAGGAAAGTTTTGAAACCCAAATGTTGTCCCTTATCTTGTAGGGTTGTTTGGTCTTCTTTCTACCCTTAACAAATTGCTAGTTGATATTCTTGTGGTAACAAGGTATATTCTCTTGACCGCAATAAAGTTTCCTATCGAGTCTCTGATTGTGTGTCTTGGTGTTGTTGCCAGCATATTTAAACCCATTGAATTTCAGCTTCATCTGGTCCCGTGTATTAATTGCCCCCTCTTTGATCATGACCTAAGGTATTCTCTTGACAGCAATAAAGTTTCCTATCGAGTCTCTGATTGTGTCTTGGTGTGATTTTGTTGCCAGCATATTTTAACTCATTGAATGTCAGCTTCATCTGGTCCCATGTATTAATTGGCCCCTCTTTGATCATGACCTGTTTTGGGTATGTTGATTTGTCGTTATTGAAAGAATGAGTTTGTGGTTAGCTTGAAAATCAGAATTGTTGAGCAATTTGTTGAACCATTATATCACATTAATTGGAGCTTGTTTGTTTTATTCACATTGCAGGTGCCATGGTTTAAAGGTTCCATCTATTGTTTTTCTTGTTTGCATGATTTTGTTGCATCCTAAATCTTGCAAAATTTCACCCTTCATGATTGACTATCCAGTTCCTTTTGGATAAAAAATTTATCATTCTTAAGATCACTGATATTGGGCAGACAGAAGATGTAGCCATCATCCCTTTACTCCATGCAGTCCTTTGGGGTATATGGGAAGAAAGGAACAACAGAACCTGTGGAAACCAATTCAGAAATGTGGAAGATCTAATCTCCTACATAACATTTCTCTGTAACCACACCTTTGGGTGGTTAATTCTGAAGCTTTCAAATGTCTGTCTCTAAATGACCTCCAAAGCAACCTTCCAGCCATCCTGCAGTCCTCTCCTAGATCTGAATCGACCATGAGAAGCCTTGTTAGGGAAGACGGTGGGATGACCCTAAACTTTGATGGCAGTGCCCAAGGATCTATTGGCCAAGCAGGAATTGGTGGTGTCTTCCATGGGGAGAGGGGGATCAGCTGGGCTTATAGTGGTCCGATTGGGAGGGCTGATGCTACAAAAGCCAGAGGTCTTGTCAGTACTCACAGGAATTTGGCTTGCTAAACAGCTGGGTTTTTGCTTTTTAACTATGAATGAGGACTCTCTAAATACTATAGCCTGGCTAAGGGAGGAAGGAGGGCCTTGGAGACTTGCACATCTGCTAGTTGATGCTTGAGATATCTTAGAGTCAATGAATGTAAATCTGGTCGGGATTCCTAGGGAGCAAAACACTGTTGCAGACAGCCTTGCAGAATCAGGGGTTTTTAGGGAAGGCTTGTAGTGACTCCTGCTTACCTAAATAATTCTGCCTCAGCTGTTTTAGTTTTCAGTACATTCACTCGTGTACTTTTTCCTGTTTTAATTCAATAAAAGTTACCTTTGCTCAAAAAAAAATATCCCTTTACTCCAAGTAGACCCTCAAATCATTGTGAGCCTTGGCTTTTTGACAAATCATAGGCCACTTGGGATATTATTCTGTAGACCTTTCAATCTTGGAGTTTTTAGGACAGTTATCATTAATTCCTCTCTCCCATGTCATACTGTTCAATATCTTTACTTTCTTTCATAGTTTTTTGATATCTCTATGGAAAAGTCATATGGATTTATGGTGCTGGTTTCTCCTTATACTACATTACTGGATGCATGTTTTGATGTTTCATGATATTGAAATGTGAGACCTTGGTTTGAAGATAATGATCCGAAGTGTAACATTTGTGTTTATCAATGTATATCTAGAACTAAGCCTTGTTGTTTCTAAAATTAACCTTGACAATACTGGTATTTCATCTGCATCTTTGATTTTTTGTCTGTTTCTTCAGCTGCTTGTAAACCACCATTTGTTTTGTTTTTTTCCTTGTCCTGCTCCTTCCCACGCTCATACTGCTTGCTTCATTGGCTATTTGCTGGTTCCATGTGACCCCAACATGTACCAAGTGAATCTTTTGCCATGGATAAGTGAGCTTATGCATGGTAGTTGTCTAATTCAGTTTTTTCTTACCTGGATTGTGGGACTATACAACCGGGGGGTTGCCTGTCCCTTTTTGCCCACAGCCCCAACCCGGGTGAAGGTGCTATCCGAGCCCATGTCTGTCTCCACTACAACCAACCTTGTCTTAGGTCAAATTATTTAGTGTTATATCACTCTTGATATTGTCATATTGTTTGTGTTGTTTTGATTGTCTTGGATCAATGTCGAAGAATATATAAATGGGAGAGGTTCTGAAAATATTCTGCCTATGTGTGCTTTCTACTTTGAAGTTTGTTGACTACAGAATTGGAGAGGAATCTGGATATATACGTTTTGAAGCACCAGAAGCAGCTCAAAAAGCTCGTGCGGCAGCAGTGCTCGCTGATGAAGGCGGGCTAATTGTGAAGAATTATATTGCTACCTTGGAAGCAGTTACTGGTATGCATCAGTCTTTATCTGTATCTACTTAAGAATAATGCAAAACAATATTGCAGATCTTACTGTAAATCTGTGTATGGATACCCATGATTAGACTTTGCTTGCCATCAGCTCAAAAACATCTGACTGATGGGGGTTCATCATTTAAGCCTTGTCCCAACTATAAGGGGCGAGCTACATGAATCCTTCTCTCCATCATCTCTAAAACAGGGATTGTGGTTGATGTAGATGCGCCATATACCCTTTCCTTTTTTGCTTAGCCTTCTATGTTGTGCAAGGTTTCAACAGCGTCTTTGACATATGTAGAAATGCACTATTTAAAGCCACTTTGTAGCATGTATAGCGCCTAGTTTGAGAATGTTTTTTATGTTTTGATAGTATTACGCAGTTGCAATACATATATCATTTTAAGAAAGCAATGGTTTATTTCAAGTGTCAACCTTTTGGTGGGGGCGGGGGTTGGGGTATATGGACGTGTGTCTAATCCATTACTATTGCAGATGTAGACTTGCCTATTTAGCCCTTTTCATTGTTGCATGATTCAATGGCATTCATGAACATGTTTAGCTCCTGATTGTGCTAGTACGCTCTACATAGTTCTGAACCCCAACCCATCTGAATTTGGATTTTTCTCCTCAGAGTGCGCCTCACACCAACCTCACAGTGCATTCAGCCATGCATTGGGAACATCACCCCATGAGTGATAACATCAAGAATGGGAGATGTTCTAATGCATGGATGCAATGTGCTGTAAGGTTGGTGTGAGGTGCGCTCTGTGAGGAGCAAATCTGATCTTAACCATCCCCCCAAAAGAATAAATAAGGAAGAAAAGCAAGAGATAGAAGGAAAAAATGATGGTTAGTCATATTCTGATTTTAACCATCCCCCCAAAAGGATAAATAAGGGAAAAAAGGAATAAATGGAAGGAAAAATGATTGGTTAGTCATAAAAACTACGATTGATATGTACTTATAAAAAAGAAAAGATGTAAATCAGGTCATGTTTCTATTCTTATTAATAACAGCTTGCACAGTTATAACTGCCTAAAGTGTCATTTTTTGCATGAGTTCTATTGGAAATGATAAGTGGCAATGTAGATTGCTTTTTTAGGAGAAACTAAAAAATAAAAGGGCGGGAAGGATCACAGATGAATCTTAATTGATAAAGGTAGGAAAATTAATGACATCAGCCTTGAGCTGGGCATTGTGTGGAAGTTACATCTAATCTATTACTTATTGGTTTAAATGTATTGCAGTTGTAATCGTTTCCCTTAGTTTCGTTTTGAAAGATACTGCACTAAGAAATTATCACCTTTTTTGCCATACTCTCAGGTGAGGCAGAGACGGAGTACTGGAACTTACTCCGTGGTAATCAGGAGAGGCACAGGGAAAGTAAATTCAATAGAGGAAGGTGAATATTTGCTTTATCTACTTTATATTTGCATGAATATTTGCTTCTGAAGGGGTCCATTACAAAAAGTAATGGTAAAATCTTGGGCTGGTAAGTCTGACAACTCGGGTTCAAGTCTGGGAGTGGCCAGTTTGAGCAAAGAAAGTTCCAAGGGTTGATTGTATTCGGTTTTACTTTTATTCTAATCCAAAATAAAGTTTTGATTGGGACATTTATGTCTTGTACAGGGGAGGAAAAAATGGTAGGGGTGGGAGACATTTTGGTGGAAAACATGCTCGCTCCAGAGAAAATGATTCTGTCGGACGCCCAAATAAAACCCAGAAGGTAGCAGTGGCTTGAGTGTCTTTAAGCTTTATTATGTTTGAAATCCATTGCTACAGAAATGCTTTCAACAATTGCAGATCGAGTGGGTAATCATCTCACGTCCATCAATATGTACTAGAAGGTATACAGTTGCTATTATTATTCATTCCATTTCTTAGTGTAATGCGATAACATCTATATTTTATTTTATGGGATCTCAATTTTTCTTGCCCTTCATTTCCGTCTCTTTCCCACCTTGCATAAAATTACCTGTAAATTGCACATATCTACTGCCAACGTCGTTCAAGAACCTCATTCAAAAGCTAACTCAGTTGGAATCATAAAATTGCACATGGGTACTATCTTATCCATACAACGGTACAACCCATGAATATGCATGATTTGGATTGTTCTTGAACCGGTGCTACACTTTCCTCGCACACGACCTTGTGTTGAGGACAATTTTCGACCTGCGTGGTCATTTCGAAGATTTAGGAACATTACCCTAATGGTGATGATTGATGTATGGACAGTCGAGACCGTGAACCTCGTCTTCCCTTTTTTAAATGCACATTGTCTTGCACCGTTCATTTGCTTTCTTTGACGGCTGGCCCCTGTTGGTCCATGACATCACCATATTTGTGATCAATATAACAGTTCCTACATATCCATGAACCAGGTGTATCAATTGGACCGTATTTGGTCCAATCTGATCTGGTGAGTCAGATTATGGATGGATCAGGTTCAATCCAATCCGTTGAATAATTTTGAGCATTTTGGACCAGTCTAATTCAGTGTCTGGATCGTTCAATCTGTTTAAATTGATTTTAATTTAATTTGGTCCCAATCCAAATCTTGTCCGTTGGCATATGCATTACGTTCTATCAACGGACTGGATATTGATTCAATTTGAGCTCGTCCAATATAAACCCATTGCGAATGCACCAGGGCCAATCCAATCCAATGAATGCTTTGGACCATTAAGTCTGGACTGGTCCAATTCAATCTCTTATTTCTGATTCATCCCACAATCAGTCCGCTGACACCCCTTCAACTGTTCCATCAACCAATCGTATTGTCATCAATTTTCATTATTTCCATTACTTGCAAATGCAATAATTTTAATTGCTCATGATCCTTTATTATCATTGAGCGTAATTTTTAGCGTCTCTTTGATTTTGCAGTCGGAATAGAATCAGAATCCTTGGAGTCAGAATGAGAATGATCTATTCCTCTTGTTTGATTCAAATGAGAGTTGAATCAGAACTGGAATCAGCTGGCATGGATTCTCATTCTTGAGGGGTAGACAACGAGTCAATGACTATTCCCTCAAATGAGGGAATGTCATTCCACCATAAATTGGAATGAAATTTCAATTGAACCCAAATAAACTGTTCTATTCCATTTCTGATTCCAGATCCCTATTCTTGCAACCAAACGGACTCTTGGTAATGTGAGTATATTTAAGGTTGATTTGGATCACACATGCATCTGTTAGACCTTTTAAGTGGGCCAGATCACCACAAGCCGGCATAGCCCAACATAACTTGGGCTGGCCCTGGCCCATGTTGGTCACTGTAGGAAGCAAGCTGTGCTAGGTTTAGACCAAACCCTCTTGCCAGGCTTGGGTTTTGAGGCCCAATTTGGTTGGTGGAGCTAAAATTTGTTGGGGTGGACTGAATAGTAAAAACCGTTTTTTTTTTTCAATTTCTATTGTTTATCTTAATAATTTATTTTAAATATTATATTATATTTTAGTTTTTTTCTAAAACTTAGTGCTGCTCACCACCTGTGGCCTGGCCTGGCCCGGGGCCACTTGGGCTCTTGCTGCAGGTCATGTGCTTCCCTTTTGAGGGATTGCAGTCACAGCCCACCCAAGCGTGTGTGTTGGTACAGCCCGCTACATTGCGGGCTGCCTGCAAAAGTGGGCCGTGCCAACCATTACACCTCCAGGCTCCAGCTTTTGTTTTTGAGATCACTTTAACTGTTTGGAAAAAACAGCCTGGGCTGTTTCGGGAACCTATAGACATCTTAAATAATTCAGGTCCTTATTTATCTTTTCAACTAAAAAGTATCGAGTGCAAATACTATTTTACCTACACTTATTATATCATTTATAGTAGGATCCCCAAATAGCGGTGGGCGTAGGCTGTTTTTTACAAACAGCCAAAGTTTAGCTATTAAATGAATCTGCTGAATGGTTTAACTTTGGCTGTTGGGGCCCAACAGCATAAGCTGGTGAGACAGTTTCTGGGTTAGGCACGTTCTGGGCAGTTCACCTATTCACGCCCAAGCTTTAGTTTTTAGTCAAAATAAATTAAAATGTAATTACTAATTTATCCATTCTGATGATAACGTGGCATTTTCAGAAATTCTCTCAACAGCATAGACTGTTGGCCCCAACAACTAAATTTTTTCTTTGCTGAATCTCGTTTCCTGCGAGCTGTGAATGAAATACTTTCCATGGCACATCTCGTACTGGACATGTCACAATTTTATGATGGGTCCCAGTCACGTGGTGAAACGTGCCGTGTGATATCATGTTGAAGGAGTGTTGGAACCTATTTTGTTGGGAGGAGATCTCAACTACCCCTACTAAGGGATTTATGATAGTTATGTTTTGGCTGCTGAATGCGGGTGGGCCGATGGGGGCTTCAAAGTGGATTTCGGATTTCCTGTCCACGATAATTCCGCTCACCTCTACCCACAACACACTACCCCCTACTCCCGTGAATTGGGAACATCTCCCCTTACATAATACTATGCAGAGAATGAGATATTCTGTGTCTCCTTGTATGACTAGTTCGTGTGCCCACCACTTCAAAGTGCAATTCGCCCTTCCTGGCAATAGCTATAAAGTCTCGACTTATGTAAAGATATTCTGTGTCTCCCTCATTGGAGATTTGAGTTGGAGGAACTGTGATCTGGCTTCATATTCTTTTTTTTTTCTTGTGTAAAGATATTCTGGATAAAATTGGGGCTCTGTTTGTCTATGTCACTTTTCTAAACAATGTGGCGTATCCCCCCGGAAAAAGGTCTGGTAGAGTCTGGTTTGGTGGGGTCTGAGTCTGATTGCCCTGGATGGCTGTAAAGTCTTGGATAGATCATAAACCTTCTTCTAGTTGATCAATGTGATCTGCTAATTACCAAAAAAACATAAAATAAAATGCAGAAGGGAACGGATCTTTGGACGGTTGTGGTCCAAAATCCAAATTGCAGAGAAGTGCCCCATCTCCGATTCCGGACTTCTAACGAGAAGACACTGGCCACAAGATCCTAAAACTGTACATCGGGAATATCATTCGTACTTTATGTTGTAATTCATGGGATATATTCCCGATGTGTGGTTGAGGTGTCTCGTGGCCAGCATATCCCAAAAGTCGCTTTCTCCATCGTCATTGATTCTGGTAACCAAATACGTGGTGCTAACACGCCCACAGCCCACTTAATCCATCTGTTGAGTTCAAAGGAGGTCCTAGGAAGAAGAAGAGGCTGCTTAAAAGGTCTAACCTTTTACACCTGAACACAAAATAAGAAGAAGAAGAAATGGGAATAGTGGAGGAAGCACACAACCTAAGGGTGTTGGGATCAGGCCAACAGGTCATAGTTCTCGCTCATGGCTTCGGTACAGATCAATCCTTATGGAAACACTTGGTTCCTCACCTAGTCAACGACTACCGGGTTATCCTCTTCGACAACATGGGCGCCGGCACCACTAATCCCGACTATTTCGACTTTGATCGCTACTCTACTCTCGAAGGCTATGCGTACGACCTCCTCGCCATCTTGGAAGAGCTCCAGATCGTTTCCTGCATCTTCGTTGGTCATTCAGTCTCCGCCATGGTCGGCGCTCTCGCCTCCGTCGCTCGCCCCGATCTCTTCTCCAAACTCATCATGATCTCCAGCTCACCCAGGTAATATTATTTTTTATTAATAAAAAAAATTTAAACTTGACAGTCTTCACCACCTATAGCCATGTGTATATTTCATTTCTTTTCCAACTGACCAAACTATTGAATATATTAAGGTACTTGAACGACGCTGAGTATTACGGAGGCTTCGAACAAGAAGATCTCGACCAGCTATTCAATGCGATGAGAGAGAATTACAAGGCGTGGTGTTCGGGGTTTGCGCCGTTGGCGGTGGGAGGCGATATGGACTCCGTGGCGGTGCAGGAGTTTAGTCGGACGTTGTTCAACATAAGACCCGATATAGCCCTCAGCGTGGCTCAGACCATATTCCAGAGCGATTTAAGGCAAGTATTAGGCCTTGTGACGGTCCCTTGTCACATACTACAGAGTAGTAAGGACTTGGCTGTTCCGGTGGTGGTGTCCGAATACCTGCACAGGAACCTCGGTGGCGAATCCATTGTCGAGGTCATGGCGTCGGACGGTCATCTCCCTCAGTTGAGCTCGCCAGATGTCGTTATTCCAGTTCTTCTCCGGCATATCCATTTCGACATTGTAACCTGATTCCCCCTGCCCCCACCCGGGGAAAAAATAACTAACAGTTTCCATTATCACGGTGCTTTCTTCTTCCATCGGTTGACAGCTCCGTAGCAGTAGCTAGCTAGCATATGCAGATCTGAGCTTCAGAACAGAAAACCGGGTTGGTTTGGAGAAAGAGTCAAAGAGACCAGGACAAGAAATGAGGTCGTATATTGTATTATTTGCTTCTGGGGAGTTCTGGATCAATGAATATGAATGGGTAGGTGGTAATTTACTAGTTTAGAACATGGTAGCGTTAAGTTTGTATGTATTTATTTAATGTTATCTGGTTTCCATATTCAAATTAGTTTTTTGATGAGTTGAAATGCACAAATGAAAGAAAAGATTTCTTTGCAGGAATCTCTTTCTTGTTCCATCTTTCCGGCTGTTTTATTTGGCATTTGTTTTCATTAAATATAGAGGTAATACATATAAGGGCAACTTTTGGGGTTTAATAGTAATATATTTAAAAAATTTTAAAAATAAGTTAACTTTTTAAAACTAATATCAATAAAAGGCAAAAACACTGTTTATCTTCTTCTTGCTGACCACGGCCGCCTTCGCCCACCTCCGCCTCCGGCAATGTTGTCGGAGGTGGCCAGAGGCAGAGGTGGCGGCGGCGGCGCTAGTGATTTCTCTGTCCAACGCCACTGCCGCCTTTGCCTCCGACCACCTCCGGCAAGGTTGTTGAAGGCGGAGGCGGAGGTAGACGGAGGCGCGGCGGGCGACAACGGACAGTAGTTCTAGTGAACAAATGGTAAAAAAAAGGAAGATGAACAACGTTTTTGCTCTTTATTAGGGCGGATTTGGCCTTCCAATGACATCATGACACATGGCATCTTGGAACAACTAGTTGACACATAGGCACCACCTAAGCAATGGCTTGGAGTCCCAGATCGTGGTTTCTCTTCGCCTAGACCCGGCGACTTGCCTTCACTACCAACCTAGTGACCTCGACCACAACTCAAGTCGACTAGAAGCACCTCGTCATTGGACGAAGTGACCTCGACGAAAGGAGCGACCTCCCTCGAGGGCGTGCTGGCCTAACTAAGGTCCAAGTGGCGACCTGCAAGATGTGCTCACCGAAAAATTTGGCATGCATATCCCGACACTCCCACGATTCTTGGAAGTTGGCCCACGTACCAAATGTTTCGGAGGGTGGTCAACATGCATGATGTTTACCTCCAAGGATTTCGAACCGGTTAGGCACGATCTCCCGAAAATCTCGGATGCGGTGCGTGAGGCCCACACTAAATAATGCCTATATAAAGGCACCAACCCCAAAGACTCAGAGAGGAGAAAAAAAAAGAGGTACGCGTGATTATTCTACTCACTAGCACTCAAGTTCTCAAGCATTCATCTCACATTCACAACATAAGTATTGACTTAAGCATCAGCGACCTTGCCGAGTTAGCTACCCCGGGTTGTCTGATCCACTGTTTTGCAGAATGATCCAACTCGCCTCCCAATTGAAGTTCGGATTGCCTTCCAGCTAAGAGTAGCCAGATCGTACACCAATTGGACGGGCACAACGAACGGCGGCGGACGACGATCCTGGTGAACAAATGATAAAAAAAGGAAGATGAACAGTGCTTTTACTCTTTATTGATATTATTTTTAAAAAATTAACCTATTTTTGATTTTTTTAATATATTATTTTTATTATATTAAACCCTAAAAGTTGCCTTTATATGTTAAAACCCTATTACACGGTGCAAGTGGTCAAGTGGGTGGGCTGGTTCTTGTTGGAACTTGGAACTCTCGTAGCTAGTTGGGAACTCGGAATCGTTCAGTCAATAATTAATAAGGCCAAGGGTGTTGGTATATATCTTGGTGAGGTGGCTGATCTTGGCTTCACTTTGCAGATGCAGAGCACCCGTGTGAAAAATCTCGTCCTTGAGAACTTGGAATCATTGATTCAATTAATAAGGGTGTTGGTTTCCTAGTATCTTGGTTGTTTGGCTTCGCTTCCGCCTTCCCCTCCAGAGTTCCGTGTGAAAACTGAAAAATCTTCTCCATTTTTCATTTACTGTCCTCACAACCCACACACTCTCCCTTTATTTTTTCTGTCCACTCAACCGGTATCAAACTATCAACCAGTCAACCATCAACTGAATTTGGACTTGCTCCATACAGATCGCGACTCACACCATCTCACATCGCATCTCAGTCATGCATTGTGAACATTTTCCACTAAATCAATGATAACATCGACTACAGGAGATTGATGTTATACACAGTTGCGGTGCACTGTAAGCAACAAATCCGGTTCTCCCATCATCAAGCCATCCGTGTGAAATCATTGCCTTCGATTGCAGAGCCCGTGTTTCATTTCCCAGTTTAAATCAGCCCCCCACTAAATTGTCCCCACAACGTCCCACAGCACATCCTCGCCGTGTATTACGTTGTGGGGGGCAAGCTGATTGCTCTCTTCATTTCCGAGATCATTCGAAACCTCTCAATTAAATAATTTAAATTTAACTATTTAAGGCATTTTATATCATATGAGATGCTGAAGTGTTTGCATTTCGTTGGGGGCTTGGGGGTTGCATGAAATGTTTTCTCTTGGATGTTTTCATGCGGCCCTACTTTAAATTAGATGAAGTGATGTGATGTCAAAATGGGCCACATCAATGGATTGAAGAGGCTGTGATTCACGGGTCGTCACGGCAAAAGTGAAAGTGATAGACTTTATTTCTGTATGAATGTACATCTCAAAATAAGGGAATCGTTAGGTCCCGTTAGGTTTGTGGGAATAGGGGTTTGGAATCGGAATTGGAATCGGGTGTTTATAGAGGTGTAAAACGGGCTATTCTAGCCGTGCTGTTTTCTTCAGGGATAATTTGGGGGGGTCAGCCTGGTGCGGCCCATCGCCAGAGCCCGTGCAGTCCCGTGCTGTGCCATGTCGTGAGTCTGGATTGGGCGGGCTGGGCTACAGGCTGTATCGTACCAAGCTAGGCCATAGGCTGGGCCCTAGGCATGGACCGAACTAGGCCAGATTGATTTTTTTTTTGTTTTTTGACATTTTTGATTTTTTTTTCATTTTTTTGCTAAGTAAAACTAAAATATTTAACTTTGAGAACTATTTGAAAAAATAAGAAATCTAACAAAGAAATGAAAAAATACTTAACTAAATAAGAAGTAAAAGAGACAAAGATTCAAAGTGAATAACAAATTGGAAGAAAATAGGAATTTTATTTCATTTAAATTTGAATGATACAAAGCATACAATGGTTGGATGAATGAAATATGAAAATTGGAAAATGGAATAAATTAATAAAATACAAAAATATAATATAGTTACAAATTGAAAATAAAAATTATGTTATTAAAAAATATCAAATAAATTAAATAAAATTAAAAAAAATACAATAATTTGAAAAAGTGCTTCACAACTATTGAATATACAAAAAATATGGTAAAATTATTTATCACTTTATCCAAAATGCCCTCAAACTAGTTGTTATATAGCTATTGGGGGGCATTTGTGTCATTCTTTCTCTCCTGAAACCAAAATACATAAATACCTCCATCAAAAAAAAAAAGTTGAGACTAGGCTAGTTCATTGGGCAGGCTGGGCATAACCCACTATAGACCTGCAGGCTGTGCCATGCCAATCCAAATTCAGGCCGGGCTGTGTTGCAGGCAACATGATTCGTTTTACTCCTCTAGGTGTATCCACACCATACCCTGTGATAGGGACCAATCCACACTACATCATAGTTCACAATTGTTCTAAACTATGGATAGATTATGTGGATCAAACCAGTCCACACCCACAATGGCGTTTTGTAGGCGCGGTGTGGACCAGTCCACACCACACTTTTTTTATTTCATGTATCTCATATACAATTTATGAAATAATCTACATAGTTGGTCATATGTCTAATTTTTATAATTTATATGATAAATAAATTGAAAATAAAAGGCTTCGGCAATTGAATATTAATTAAAAAAATATTAATTTCAACAAAAATGATAATAAAATAATTTAAAAAAATAAAATTATTATTTTATTGATAAAAATATTAAAAAATAATATTTGAACTGACGAAATAACAAATTGTTGCAAGATAAGCATAGTATCAACTATCAAACTATTATGCAAGCTAATAATCCATTAATTCCCGTACTAGTTGTAAGACAAGCATAACATCAAAACATTGATCAACTGGTTTCCTGAAATGGTGTATGGATAAACTACCAATATTAGAACTAGTTCTTAAACAAAAATAATAGATGAAGCACCTCTACTTGAGCCAAAGGATGCTTGTAGTTCTGATTCTGCTCCACAAGTTTCTACAAAAGCTTTTGAGGGAGAGAAAAAAGCAGAGGATATCAAAGATGATTCACTAGCCTTGGAGGGAGTTGGTGTGGTTGCCGCTAGTACTGTTAGTGCTCCTGTTGGTGAATCCAAGGAGTTGGAATCAGAAACAAGAATAGGGGAATTGGTGTCGTTGGTAATCGTTGTGTCACTGATCCTGTAAATGTTGTGTCTGGTTGTATTGTTGTATCTGCTATTGGTTGCTTGTGGGACAACAAATGAGTGTATATAGAAGGTATGGGTTATGCACCTCTCTCTCTCTCTCTCTATTGTCTGTGAGGATTCAAAATGTTTTCTGTTCCTATTTATTTTAGTTGTCAGTATTGCTTGTGCTCGTTGGTGCTTTGTACTTGACTGTAATTGTAGCTTTGTGGGACACCAGATATTTATAGGTGATATTACTCTTCAGGTACATTTTGTTACAGTACTTTTTATCCCTTTATGAGAGATTTAGTTAAATAATCTATTTTTCATCAATTAGTAAGTGTTTTAGTTCTCCACAGGGAAGGTTTTAAATCCTAACCATGTGCATCATGTGTACTACTGTAAGTACTGTACTATATTGATAGAGTTCATTATTTGAGCAAAAGGCAAATCCTGAGGAGGTGGGAATTAAGACTACGGTAGAATTAATCAAAAGCAGGGTTTCCACTGTCAATTGTTTCAGAGGAGAGGATTTTTCATCATCTTATGCGAGTGAAAACCTATTGGAGAAAAAGAAAATCAAGATTAATAAATTAAAAGGGAACACATCAATTCATTAAGTAACTTCCCCTCTACTTTCTGTTTCTCTCTTCTTTTTCTGTCAAACCAAACTCAGCCTTAAGGTTCAAGCTTGGGAATTCAATCCAATTCACGCATTTCCTTGGTTTCATCTTCTTTCAGCAACATATTTGATATGGAAAACAGCCAGGATATCCATTTGCTTCGTCTAACAATATGAATAACTGTCTGTTAAGTCTATTCAGCTACAGATTGAGCTGGAAAATGTTGAAGAAAATATCCATTACTTTGGGTCTAACAAAAAGAAAGAGAAACACTCAGATGCAA